ATGGCTCCTTCTGTCCACCAGGATGGCGAGCAAGCATAGACCTTTGCAGGCTGCCTCTGGCTCCGATCTGCCTCCTTACTCTTCAGGATCCTTCTGTATTACACTGGTCCCACCTGGACGATCCAGGCTTCCCTCCCCAGTTTGGGATCTTCAATCACCTCTTCTAATTTGCCTTCTCCATCCACATGGTTCAACATATGCACTTTTGGGAATCAAAATTCTGCCCACAGCATGGATACTCTTGTGCTGGTGGGACAGTCAGTCCATGCAAATGGGGTCAAAGGAAAATGTCTTTAGTACATTTATTTTCACCTTTTTTTCTTACCCCAATGAATAGCTTTTTTTAAAATTGCAGTGTCTTTGCACATTTGTCTAAATCCTTCACAACTGTCCTTAACTCTCCATTTGTAGGATATTGGCTTTGACTTGTCCTCCAGCAACAGTGATCAACTCTTGTTAACCCATCTGTGTCTTTCATGTTTCTTACAAACAGCACAGATTGTTACACTGTTGTAGCTGTAAAGCAATACTTATTACTTGCCATAATGTATTACTCTGCTGACCAATGAGCTAAGTTTATATAACCTGTATTCACATTGTTGGTTGGGAGTTACGCTGCCAGAGCTAAATGAAAAAACAAAATGTTCTCTCCAGATTCATGGCCATACTAAAGCATTTACTATTTATTCATTTATCCACTGAGCAAATGTTTGTTGGGTATCTCACCATTCCAGGCACTGCAATAAATATAGGCGATGAGCAATAAGATGTGGTAAATCGTGATTCAAAATATGAGGTATTGCTTTTAGTAGCTTAACCTCAGGGCATAATTCAAGCATTCAATATTTATGTACTTACTTTCTATCTGGGATGTAGCTTTTAAAGCCAAGGTTTACCCATTTTTACTACTTTCAACTGAGTAGAAATAAAATTTTTGACACAAAGTATTGTGTCCAAAAAAGCCATTTAATACTTTTTGTTCCAGTACTGTAGTATGCATTTGTTCCATACTCTATCACAGGAATCTTTATTCTTTTTAAAGGATGAAATTCCCAGGAGAATTTTTAAATGTTTGACACAATAATAACTTAGACTTATTCATCACTCCTACCTACCACTTTAAACATATTAAACCAGTGGTTTTCCAGACCACTCTATAAGATAGGTATTATCATCAACATCCCTATATTAGTAGGGATGATACACCTGCTAAGTGGTAGAGCCACAATGTTAAGCAAGCGAACTGCTTGCACAGCTTTATTTCTTAACACAGAAATAGGTATATATATCACACAGTATTGTCACTCAGTAATATTGGAGCCAAGGATTGCTCCAAATCCTTCTCACAACTTGGATCATTTTCCCCAACTGTAGTATATCGCAGAAAAAATTGTAATCTTAAAGACACCTGCAACACCAGCATCCTATATAGATGCCAGTTCTCATCCTGGCTACTCCACTTCTGTTTCAGCCCCTTGCTAAAATGCGTGGGAATACACTGGAGGATGGTCCAAATGCTTGGTTCCCTGTTGCCCATTTAGACAACCCAGATGAAGCCCTTGACCCCTGGCTTGGGTACCTGGCTGTTATTACCGTCTGGGAAGTAAACCAGCAGGTGAAAAATCTTTTTATCTCTCTTCTCTAATTCTGTGTTTGAAATGAATCAATCAGTCTTTAAAATACAATCTTATCTAATGGGATTTTAGGACAGCCCAGGGAGAATGTTTCCAGCAGTTTTTTTCTTTTTAATGAAGTAGAAACATCATGTTTAACTTTCAAAAGATTCATGAAAGAAGCATATTATGAAGGAACAGTTCATGGTTTCAAAATGTTGGCACCAAGATAAACTTCTTTTATTCTCATTTTTCATGAACGTTTTGAAGCACCCACATGTGTTTTATTAGAGTCTGTTTTGCCCATTTGGCAATTATTATCCCATAACTCAGGACTGCTACTCAGTTATTAGAAAATTCTAGTTCTTGAAGGAATTTCTGGAATAATGATATAAGTAGATGTTGGCTGACTAGTGACAGATATTTAAATATATTTTTTATTAATACCTAATCAAATAAAATAGTTTTCATGTTGTTTTGTTTCTTCATTTTAAATATTTCATTCACAAGAACATGTAAGTTTTTCTGCCAACATCTTCATATCTAGATTGTTTTCATGGTCAAGGTCATAGATGTTTCCAAGTTCAGTTTTTAAAAACAACATAAATTTAGATAAGTGAGAAATTTTTTTTTTTAAGATTTATCTATCTAAAAGGCAGAGTTGCAGAGCAGGAGGGATAGAGATCTTGCATGCACTGGCTCACTCCCCAAACGGCTGCAGTGGCTGGGACTAAGTCCCACTGGGTGCAGGAGCCGGAGGACTTGTGCCATCTGCTGCTGCTTTCCCAGACATGTCAGCAGGGAGCTGGATCCAAAGCAGAGCAGCTAGGACTTGAATTGACACCATATGGGATGCCAGCATTACATGTGGTACCTTAGCTTGCTGTGCCGCAATGCTGGTCTCAGAAAAGTTGTTCCAATTCACACCTACATTTCTTTGGATTCTGAATAGTCAATAAGAAAGAATATTAATCACTGTAACTTGAAGTTTTAAAATAAAATAGGTGAACTATAATAAATGGTACTTCCATAGTCCAATAAAATACGTACAACCCCCAGATACAATCAAAGTGCATTTGTATTATAATGAAATTAAAATTTATCAGCATCTATTTCTATATGGCTACATGTGACTACCTTCTACTGAGTTGCAAGTCATTTCATAAAACTGAGTTGCTTCTCAGCAAATTTAAAGAAATTAAAGGCATCCTGAAGAAGCTATGAAAGGGTTCCTAGTGACTGCCAGAGCAAATGTTATCTGGGAATCAAAGTGGCTACCGAGTTGACATGAATCATCAGAATCAATATGGTGAGCACACGGGAACTGTTCCTGATTATGACTGCGTTGCCAGGAGAAGGAAAGTATAACGCATGGCATGTGACTGAATTACAAATCAAAAATGGTTAATGATCAAACCTGCTTAGTAATTTAAAAGGTAGTGAGCTTACCATTTGGAGAGAGAAATGAGTGACTGACACTTCTTTTATTTGAAAGGCAGACTGATACAGTGAGGGGAAAGAATAGAAGGAGATAACTTTCATCTGATATTTCACAAATGGCTGCAACAGCCAGGCCAGACCAAAGGCTGGAGCCAGGCACTCCAAGCAGGTCTCTCCCATGGGTGGAGCGGTACAAGTCTTGGGTCATCATCTGTTGCCCTCCCAGGAGCATTAGCAGGGAGCTGGATGGGAAGCAAAGCAGCTGGAACTCAAGCTGGTGCTCTGATAGAGGATGCCAGTATCACACAGCACCTTCACATGCTGCACTGTAACACCAGCACTGCCACCAACACTTTGATGTGATTGACAGAGAGATTCTGAGGAGGAAACGGACTGTAGAATTGACTAGAAATTGGTATGTGGCTTGTCTGGTCACTAAAGGGGACTTATGCTCGACTGCTTCAGAGCTGCAGCAGAGATAGTAGCTTACCCACTGTGCCTTGTGGGACAGTGTGCTGAGTCAGGGTTGAGTCAGCCTCATTCTAGCAGGGAGGCGCTCACTTGGAGAAAGGCTTGAGCTCCCCTGGGCAGCGTGGCCTGCTCAGTACAATTCCTTGCCAAGGGTCTGAATCAACAGTTTGGTGTCTGGAGAAAATCAGCTGTTATCCCCCAGAATGAAGCATTAACTTGTTCTACTCAACACTGAGGATCGTATGTAATCATCAGAGTTAACACATGAGGGGTGCGGCCTGGGATATAATATGGAGTAGAAGCAGGCCTTAGCGGGTAGCCTTAATTGTAAAGCCATTAACTCTAACAGCAGGGTGCTGTATCCAAAGCAGAAAAGCACCTGACCATCTTGGGTGGTTTTCCTAACAGAAATGTTTCTGCTTCTATAGTGTTTTTTCATTTTCTTTCTGAAAATTGCTCCTCTAGCACATATACTTATTGAATTACATCACAGACATTACTGGGAAAAACCAACCCCAACCAGAAATTTCATAATGGAATATTGATGTAGATTCTTTAAGCCCAAATTTAAGCATGATTAAATCTGTCTTGTCAGGGACTCATTAGACTTACACAGTCTACACCCCTTGGTAAGTGAAGCAGTAGACAGAAGATCTTTTTCTTGGAAAGGCAGATTTTAAAGAGAGGAGAAATAGCGAGAGGTTTTCCATCTGTTAGTTCACTCCCCAAGGGGCTGCAACAGCCAGAGCTGAGCTTATCCAAAACAGGGGCCCAAGGCTTTGGACCATCCTCTGCTACTTTCCCAGACCAGCAGCCAGAACATGAATGGAGATGCCAGCACCACAGGGTGGAGGATTAGATTGCTAAGCCACTGTGCCAGCCTGGTCAGTATATTTTATAAGCAGAGTCCAAATGAGGGACATGTGCAGAAAAAATACATTTTAGATAAATGTCTACCACTTTGACATATGACAGATTTGAAGCTATAGAAAATGTAGCTGCCGCATGAACAGATAGTGAGCACATCGGAGACGAACCACTAGAGACATTAGTGGTTGAGGAGTAAGGAGTCCATCCATCTCTTACAGAACAAAAAGTTAGCAAAGACAGACATATACGCTTAGCTAGGAAAGTGAAGGATAAACAAGGAGAGGGTGTGGGTCACAGGACGCCCAGAGGTTACTTAGGAGTTGTCCCATGTCCTCAGAGGGTTACTGTCCAGGGACACTCTGCTCTAGTCCAGTCCCTTCAGATTTGCAGCTACAAAACAAGCCCCATCCATGAAAGACTGTTTGGAAAATGGTAGTTTGGGGAGCTAGAAAAAGACCTACATCCTACTGTTGCTTAACTTTATCCATGGAATGATAAGCTAGATTGCATCTAATCTTGAAAAAAAAAAAAAGATGATTTTGTTTTTTGAGTTTTCTTTCCTTGCAGAGAAAACTGGGATTAATGGAATTCAATTCTGTTTTGCAGGGACTTTCCGGCTTCCACACTCTCCCTGGACTTCCTGGAAGAAAATCCCAAAGTCCTGGAAGGCTTTAGATATCTCAATAGGCACAGTTTCTGCCCTGTGATGTATTACTTTCTTTTTAATTTTAATCCAGAAAATAATGTACATTAGTAATGGATATTACATGGTCTGGAAGACATATCTTGCTGAAGAACATACTAAGTCCTGCATAGTAGAAATGGAGTTAAAGGCTGGATATGGGTTCTCTCATACTCACACTGAAATACTAAGTATTTTTTTTAAGTATCTATTTTTATTGCAAAGGCAAATTTACAAAGGGAGGCAGAGACACAGAGAGTGCTATCTTCCAACTTCTGGTTCACTCCAAATGAGAGCAACAGCCATTGGAAGCCAAGCCAATCTGAAGCCAGAAGCCAGGAGCTTCCTCCAGGTCTACCACACGAATGCAGCGCTCCAAGGACTTCGACCATCGTTTGCTGCTTTCCCAGAACACAAGAGAGAACTGGGTGAGAAGTGGAGCAGATAGGATATGAACCAATGCTCATATGGGATGCTGGCACGTGCAGGTAGAGCCTTGCAGGTTGAGCCACTGGCCCCAATACTAAATATTTTGAAGAAAATTAACTTAGTTTGGACCTACAATAACTTACAATGCACAATCTATAAGCAACCTATCAAAGAATCATTTCCACTGGTAAATAGTCTTCGCCTTACAAAGTGCATTTGAGGGGCCTGGCGCAGTAGCCTAATGGCTAAAGTCCTTGCTTTTCATGTGCTGGGATCACATGCGGGTGCTGGTTCTATTCCCTGCACCCCGCTTCCCATCCAGCTCCCTGCTTGTGGCCTGGGAAAGCAGCAGAGGAAGGCCCAAAGCCTTAGGACCGTGCACCAGCGTGGGAGACCCGGAAGAGGCTCCTGCCTCCTGGCTTCAGATCAGCTTAGCTCTGGCCATTGTGGCTGTTAGGGGAGTGAATCAACAGATGGAAGATCTTCTTCGTCTCTCCTCTCTGTATGTCTGCCTTTCCAATAAAAATAAATAAATCTTTTTTTTAAAGAGCAATTCAGTTATGAGCTTGATTTTAAAGTTGTAAGAATTTGAGCCAAGGAGAAGGCTCAACTCTAAACAATACAGATCTGCTTTTTTCCATAAATAACTTAGCTCTTTTTCCTCTTCATATCCTTTTCCATTAATATAATTCCTTACAAGGCGGTTGGCAAGAACTAATGTTCCCTAGTGCCTATTCTTAAACATCCCTTCAATGGGAGTTGAGATGTATGCTTCCTCCCTGTGAGCGCTGAGACTTGCCTGACCAAAATGTACAGGGAAAGTGATACTTATATTAACGTATTAACACTTACTTATTTTCATTGGAAAGGCAGAGAGACAGAGGGAAAGATCTTCCATCTGCTGATTCACTCCCCAAGTGTCTGCAATAGCTGGAGCTGAGATTATCTGAAGCCAGAGCTTCTTCCAGGTCTCCCACGTGGATGCAGGGCCCCAAGGCTTTGTGCTGTTTTCTACTGCTTTTCCAGGCCATAGCAGGGAGCTGGATGGGAAGTAGAGCAGCTGGGACATGAACCGGCACCCTTATGGGATCCCAGCATACACAAGTTGAGGATTTAGCCACTGAACCATCACCCCAGGTTCTCTATTTTAACTACTTAAGTCATAAATCCCCTTATTGCTTTCTTGTCACTCTAGTAATATTCTTGCTCTCCAAGCTCCAAATCACCTGAAAAGAGGCTCAACTGCCAAGACTGCCACACTAGATGGGCTCTGGGAGATGTTCCCATCTGACCAATTCATTCCAGCTTTCAAGCCAGGAGCAGAATGTGTGAGTGAAGATGCCATCTGGCAAACGGACCCTACAACCGTAGCTGTCCCATGGCTCCTGTCCTTGCATGTTTGGGTCATCCTCAGATAGTCCCAAAACTTAGCTGAGGTTCTGGCCTTAGGTAAAGAAGATTGCCCTCTGGTGCACTTCCTGAATTCCAGGCCCGCAGATGCTGTTGAGTTTAGTAATAGTTTTACAGCATCAGCTGTGGCATGGTTTATTATATAGTGAAAGGTAAGTCAAACGCCTTTTCCTGCAATCTTTGTTGGACAGATGGCCAGAGACAGGGCTTCGTTCCTCAGGCTTCTCTGCTGCAGGTCAGTGTGCCTAAGTCCTCCCTATAGCAAAAGGAGAAGATGCAGTTTCTAAGTCATGGCAGTAAAATATTTATTGCTTCTCTACTTCCTCTCACTCACCCGTTTCTTGCTGGCTGACGTAGCAATGACTGGAGCAGCTACTTGGCATCTGCAGGCCTTAACGATGACTGTCGTGGGCTGGACTCCCCTGGAAGCAAGCTGAGCAGAGTTCGGTGTACTGAGTATTATTAGACTTCCTGGAGGTCAACGTGCAAGGGAGGGGAAGAGAGCCAAGAGTGGCACAAGGGATGGTTGTCTTGTAACACCCATGCGACACCCTAAGCGAGGTTGGGGGCAAAAATGAATGCTCAGAATTGTCCCTCACTGGGCTGAGACCATCTAGCCTTTAAAATCCTGCATATAACAGCCGTTATATGGGTTGTTCTGACATATGATCTTAAGTTGACATATGATCAGTAAGTTACCTATTACTGCATAACAGACCCAAAAAATAGTGGCTAAAAGCATTTATTGCCTCACAGTTGATGTGTGCCAGGCATCCAGAAACATGACATCATTTCTGACTCACAATTTGTATAGGATCACAATTAAATGTTCAGCTGCCGTGAGGCTGACCCTGTTGGGAGTCACTCATGTGAATCTCCTTCCCACACAGGGCCTCTCCAGCAGTAACACTGTTCCTACAAACCAAGGAGGAAGCTGAGTATCATCAAAATTCAGTCTGGAGTCACGTTGTGGCATAGCAGCTAAAGCTACCTATATCTCTGTCCTCCTGTATGGATTACTGGTTCATGTCCCAGCTGGTCCACTTCCAGTCCAGTTCTTTGCTAATAACTGGGAAAGGCACAAGATTGGCCTATGCACTTGGGCTCCTGCCACTTATGTTGGAGAGTCCTTGATAGTGGATTCGGCTTGGCCCAGCATCGACTTGTGGCCATCTGGGAAGTGAGCCAATGGATGGAGGATCTTGGTTTCACCTCACATTCGTGGAGATTTGCACTCTAGGATACAGGAATCATTGGGGTGCTCTGAGAGGTCACATACCACATACATCACACATATTTCATATTCTGCTATTTTTAGTTTTACATCATAGTTTTGTTGAGCTGTATACTCTCCATTTATATAATAGTTTTTAAAGAAAGCAGGGACTAGCATTGTTCTGGTTTAAGCTGCTGCCTGCAATACTAGCATCCCATACAGGCACCAGTTCATGTCCCTGCTGCTCTGTTGTGGGCTAAGGAGTCAGTTGGCACTGGATAAGCTGAGCAGTAACAGGAAATGGGCTTGTGGCTGAAAGCACCTGGACTAATGGGACTCATTGGCATCCTGTTTGTCTAAAGGACTTGAGGGGAAAGAGTATAAAAGGAGTAAAAAAGGGAGACTTCCACCATCACTGGTCTCCTGTCAGTGCTTCATCCCCACGCCCTCTCTGTGTCCACCTTGCTGGCCGGAGCACTGCTCTACTTCCAATCCTGCTCTCTGCTGCAAGTCTGAGAAAAGCCACAAGAGCTGGCTGAACTGTTCAGGTCCCTGAGGCCCAAGCAGGAGACTCCTGGCTTTGCCTTTGCCCAGCTGTGGCTGTTGTGACATCTGGATAGTGATGTTAAGATCTCTACCCCCTTCCCTGTAACACTTTCTATAACATTTTTAAGTGAATAAACCTTTTTCTAAAAACTGTATTCTTTAATGTAGGTTATTTAAATTTATTGGATAAGCCCTGCAAAAATACATTCTGCATCGATTTGAGGCTAATGCAAAACATTTAAATTGGGCGTCATGTGATAGCCAAGTGGTTAATTCCTTGTGTTGCGTGTGCAGGGATCACATATGGGTGTCAGTTTTTGTCCAGGCTGCTCCACTTCCTATCCAGGTCCCTGCTTGTGGCCTAGGAAAGCAGTAGAGGATGGTCCAAAGCCTTGGGACCTTGTACCCACATGGCAGACCCAGAGGATGCTCCTGGATTGAGGTCATCTGGGGAGTGGACCAGTGGATAAAAGACTTTCTGCCTGCAAATGATTTTCCAATAAAAATAAATAAATATTTTTATATTTTATTTTATTTATATTGAAAAGCAGGTTTACAGAGGAGAGCCATTGAGGAAGATCTTTCATCCGCTAGTTCACTCCCCAAGTGGCCTCAGTGGCTGGAGCTGAGCCAATCCAAAGGCAGGAGCCAAGAGCTTCTTCTGGGTCTCCTATTTGGGTGCAGACTTTGGGCCGTTCTTGACTGCTTTCCTGGCCACAAGCAGGGAGCTGGCAGGATACAAACCAGCGGCCATATGGGATCCCAATGTGTGTAAGTCAAGGACATTAACCACTAGACTGCTGTACTGGGCCCTCAATAAAAATATATCTTTAAAAACGAATTGATTTAAAACATATTTTGGGAGGCCAGTTCCATAGTGGGTAAAGCCAATACCCATAATTCTAACATCCAATATGGATGGCTGTTCAAGTCCCAACTGATCCCGAATGTGACCCAGCTTCCTGCTAATGGCCTGGGAAAAGCAGACGATAACTGAAAGAAGTGGGCCCATCACGCACATGGGCGACCCAGATGATGCTCTTAGAGACTGGCTTATGCCTAGCCCATCCCTAGCTGCTTTGCCATTTGGGGACTGAACCAGCATATGGTAGATCTGATTTTCCTGTTTTTCCCCCTCTCTAACTTTCAAATAACTAAATCTTTAAAAATTAGACTTTGGACTAAATGAATTTATATATGAGGACATGAATTGAGAGGAAGCAGGGGAAGAATGTTGTAACTTGAATGTTATAAACTTCATTTGCAATTTGGGAGGCAAAGCCACAAAGCTGTGTGGGAATGTTTGTTCTCTTCTGTCCCTTTTGCCACAGTGGACCCTTGTGAAATGCCACTACCTTGATACTGGGCTTTTCAACCTCCACAAGAAACAATTTTGTCCTTAAATCTATGTTATTTTGGGCCCTGTGCAGTGGCCAAGCAGCTAAAGTTCTCGCCTTGCAGGCGCCAGTTCTAATCCCTGCAGCTTGTTTCACATCCAGCTCCCTGCTTGTGGCCTGGGAAAGCAGTCAAGGATGGCCCAAAGTCTTGGGACCCTGCACCCATGTGGGAGACCCCGAAGAGCTCCTGGCTTCAGATGGGCACAGCTCTGGCTGTTGTGGTCACTTGGGAAGTGAATGAGTGGATGTAGGATCTTCTTGTCTCTCTCCTCCTTTCTCTCTATATATCTGACTTTGCAATAAAAAATAAATTAAAAAAAAAACCCCAAACTATGGTATTTTGTCAACCAGTCATTGCCAGTACTGTATTATAATATACACTTGTAATATAATATACACTTGTTGCAGCTTCAACATCCCGCATGAGTGCCACTTGGTGTCCCCACTGCTCCACTTAACAACAGCTCCTTGCTAATGCACCTGGGAAAGCTGCAGAGAATGATGGCTCAAGTGCTTGGGCCCCTGCACCCACATGGCAGACCTGGCAGAAGCTCCTCCTGGCTTTAGATTGGCCCACCAATTTGCCTTTGTGGCATAAAAATCTCTCTAACTCTGCCTTTCAAATGAAACAGAAAGAAAAAAAGGAAGAAAGAAAATGCTGGGGCCACTGCAATGGTTCACCTAATCCTCCAACTTCAAGTGCCAGTTCGTATCCCAGCTGCTCCACTTCCCATCCAGCTCCCTGCTTATGAGCTGGGAAAGCAGTGGAGGATAGAACAAAGTCTTGGAACCCTACACACGTGTTGGACACCAAGAAAAAGCTCCTGGCTCTAGACTGGCTCAGCTCCAGCTATTGTGGCCACCCAGGAAGTGACCAGCAGATGGAAGATCTTGGTCTCTCCTCTGTAAATTTGCCTTTCCAATTAAATATTTTAAAATGCTATGACATGCGTCACACGTTTGATGTGTCACTGTTAGTTTCTAGAAAGCACAAACTAAAATGTACCTTGCTCTGTATTCCTGCTATTTGATACATAGTACTCTGACATTTAATGTCAGTTTAAGAATGTCAGGAAAGGCAATCCAATTCCAAGGCCTATCCATAGTTTGCGCTGATTTTCCTAAAAACAAAATGCATGTGTAATACTGGATTTCCTTCCCTAGGGTCTTTTTCAAGTGTAAAATCACAATTCTAAGGAAATTAAAAGAAGTCCAACATGGTAGCCTACTGCCTAAACTCCTTACCTTACATCCTATATGGGCACCGGTTCGTGTCCCGGTTGTTTCACTTCTCAAGCAGCTCCCTGCTTGTGGCCTAGAAAAGCTGCTGAAGATGGCCCAAAGCCTTGGGACCCTGCACCCATGTGGGGGACCTGGAGGAAGCACCTGGCTTTAGATCAGCTCAGTTCCAGCCATTGTGGCCACTTGAGGAGTGAACCAGAGGATCAAGGATCTTTTCCTCTGTCTCCTCTCTACAAAAATCTTTTGAATAAAATAAATAAATTTTTTTTTAAAAAAAGTTGTTATTCATTCATTCAGGATCTCTTGAAGTTACAATTTAAAATAATGAATGTTATAAACTGATCACCAGTCCTAAATAATGTTTTTGCTATTTTGTAGCATAAATTTTTCACAGAGATTTCAAATATCACTGGTAAAATTTAATTCCAGTGATTTAAAACTAAACACTTCACACACAGGGTATACGATTATGAGATTGTTGTTTCCTTAAAATCTATGTTCTCAGATCTAGTCCTACTTTTTTTTTTTTTAAGATTTATTTTTATTATTTTTTTCATTGGAAAGGCGGATATACAAGAGAGGAGAGACAGAGAGGAAGATCTTCCGTCCAATGATTCACTCCCCAAGTGAGCGCAACGGCCGATGCTATGCCGATCCGAAGCCAGGAGCCTCTTCCGGGTCTCCTACGCGGGTGCAGGTTCCCAAAGCTTTGGGCTGTCCTCGACTGCTTTTCCAGGCCACAGGCAGGGAGCTGGAAGGGAAGCGGGGCTGCCAGGATTAGAACCGGCGCCCATATGGGATCCCGGGCATGCAAGGCGAGGACCTTAACCACTTGCGCCACCGCGCCGGGCCCTAGTCCTACTTTTAGCACTAACATCCTGTACCTCTGGCTAAATCATTAAAGTGCAACATATTGTTTAAAACCTCCTAAGTGAATGTTCAGTTAATTTTGTTGTTTGTGTTTGTTGTTGCTCCTAAAAGTAATCAAGTGGTGGGAACCAGAAGACTGCAATATGGGATGTGGATTACACAAGAGGCATCTTACAAATGAGCCAGATGCTGGTTGACCTTGCACCAGTCTTTTAACTCAGACAAACCTAAGAAAGCAATGCATTTTTTAAAAATGAAGATATAAAATGGAACTTACATTAGGCAATTTCTTCATAATCCATGGAACTGTTTTTCGCTGAAAATGTAGAGTGAGGACCTTTACATTTAGTTAGCAGGAACACCCATGAACAGGCTTTATCTCCAACCTGCCGAAACTGTCAGCAACATTTTAAATATGCAGTTTTCTCTGATGGTCCCTGGTTATTCTGTACATTGAACACTTACTGTTTACCAGGAAGCAGGCCAATTGCTTCGTTTAACCCTCACAACCCTCTATTTTCCAAGTAGGTACTATCATTAGACTCATGAAGAAACCATCCTAGGAGTGGACATCTGGTACATCCTGTCTCACAGTGCCAAGCCTGCATTCACACCCGAGTGCCTGCCATCCATATGGAAGACCTGGACCAAGTTCCCTGGATCAGCTTTGGCCTGATCCAGACCTGGTTTTGCAGACATCTGGGGGGTGAACAATGAACACACTGACATCTCTTTCTCTCTGCCTTTCAAATAACAAATAGAAAGTAATCCCAAATTTATTCTTAGTAATTTTTCCATAAGTATAATGCACCTATATGACTTAACATCAAGAGTTTCTGCAAGCCAGCAACAAAAAATAACAGATGATTATAAATAACACAATATTGTTGAGAAAGTTATGGGTGAGTGGTGCAGGAGTTACCACTTGTAACACCTGCATCCCCTGTCAATATATCTGGTTTGAGTTCTGGTTTTTCCACTTCCAATTTAGCTTCCTGACAATTTGTACCTGGAAAGCAATAGATGAGAATCTCTGCTACTCTTATGGGAAATCCAGACGGAGTTCCACACTCCGGGCTGCCGTGGACCAACCTGTACATGACTTCTTCCTGCATTTCAAATAAAAATAAAGGACAGTTGTGACACTTTAAACTAATATCAATGTTGTACCCTTTGGGGAGTAAACCAGTAGATAGAAGATCTCTCTGCCATGCTTTCAAATAAATCAATACTTTTTTTTTTGAAGATTTATTTATTTTTATGACAAAGTCAGATATACAGAGAGGAGGATAGATAGAAATATCTTCCGTCTGATGATTCACTCCCCAAGTGACCGCAACAGCTGGTGCTGAGCCAATCTGAAACTGGGAGCCAGGAACTTCTTCCGGGTCTCCCACGTGGGTGCAGGGTCCCAAGACTTTGGGCCGTCCTTGACTGCTTTCCCAGGTCACAAGCAGGGAGCTGGACGGGAAGTGAGTTTGCCAGGATTAGAACTGGTGCCCATATGGGATCCCAGCACATTCAAGGCGAGGACTTTAGCTGCTAGACCATGCCGTCAGGCCCCCAAATAAATCAATCTTAAGAAAGAAAGAAACCATCAAGGGACATATTTGGAAGGTCTTTCCAGACTGCCTTCTTAACCAAAAGCAACCTGGAAAGGAGCTCTGGCTGACCACCTCCTTAGTGACTCCTGCACGGCTTACACTGTCACGGTTCCCACAGTCAGGTTATTCTCTTGTACTTTTCTTCCATCTTTAGTCTTTTTCTCCCTAGTAACCATTTTCAATGTTTGTGCTCACCATAATCTTAACATCTACCAATACACTAATATGTGCCCATAAAACAGATTTTAGTGTTTACTCTATGTAAAAACCAATACATTTTATTTAGTACTACTTACCCCAGACAAGACATTCTTGGAGAAATAAAAACATTTCAGCACACACTGCTTACAGGATAGCTAAGGACGCTGGATCAACACAGCAATTTTTTTCACCATTTTTCTACTTTAATATACCAACAACCCATGAAGTGTGCATATATTCAAGAATACTGTGTAAAACAAAATTGGAGTTTGCTCCCTTCAGGTGTAAGGGGAGAAGAACACAGAGATACAGAAAACTGTCACTGAATTCAAACATTTTAGCAAGAATTTTTAGAACTGACAACTGCGGATTTTAAGCAAAATCTGTAACATCATGATTTATCACTGAAGAGGAAAAAAGGATCTAAAAAATTCTAGCAATAAATGTACAATTTTGAAAGTATTAATGACACTACTTTAAAAACCTTATCTATTATAACAGGAAAATGGTTTTTTATGTAGTGGGGCTAAGTCTAATGAAAGCAGAAGAAATAAACATAATAAGAAAAGCATTTTCAATGAATTTTTCTTTTTTAAGCTTTTCAAAAACGGAATAAAAATAGAATTGAGCTTTAGAGTATTTCCTAGGTTAGCTGTAAAATTATTTCCTTTTTTATTTTCACAACTGAAAATTATGGAAGCTATTAGTTTTCTGTAATTTAGTTGGCGTAACACTACAGTTGGGGTTATAGTGAACACAGCATAGTAATGAGAATTAAATTTGTTTCTCTTCAGCCTACCCTCATTCCAAGTATAAATATGTATAATCATTTAATTATAACAATATAGAAACAGATTTGAGAAATGTGTTATTCATGAACTCAATATGGCATTTTAAAAGTAACAATCTATGAATGGAGGGTGTGTAGCAGTTAAAAATGGACTATGGAATAAAACCAGAGTTTAAATGTGACTGTGTGGCCTTGGACAAGCTACTTAATATGTACACTGGGCTTTAATTTCTTCATCTGTAAAACGAGGTACTACTACTATCTCACAGGGCAAAGGAAAACAACACATAAAAGCAGAGTGCTTAGCACAAAGAAAAAGCTAAATAATCATGAACTACTGTTACTGTTATTCATTAGCAAGATGTGATATATTACATAATTTTTCTATTTTGCAATCTTGACAGAATGATTAAACCTTTCCTTCAACAATATAAAAGGTGAGTCTTAATGGAAGGCCTTTTCATTTCACCTGTTTTATAAACATAACTTTACGAAACTAAACAAAAATCTTTGTATTCGTCACAAGGATCAATGCTTTTCATGAAGCCGTATCTTGAGAGCTTTATTAGCAATTTAACAATGTTTACATACAACACACGTTTTTCTGAAACTGCCAAGTATCTGATAACTACAGTTTCATTTTCAAATAAGCATGGTACAACATTAAATACAGTATCAGATTTTTTTCTGAAATTGATACACCTCCAAGGAATCATTCCAATGCAACTCGCAGTAGATGGTTCAGCATATGGACGGTTCCTCTACTGCCTGGGCACCCTCTGTAACAGCTTTAACACACTTGGCCATCGTCTGGGAGGCTCTGCTAATTGAATCTGAAAGATATTAAAAACATGTGCATTTGGATAATGCAATTTTTACAAGCATATTATATTTCATTGTTGTACACATTCAGTAACAAAAAATAAGGGTATAAAGTTGTATGCAATTATATGTAATTATATGAAACCAATAATTCTTCAGATAATTCTTTTATTGGCTAAATCATTTTAGTAATTATCCCTAGGAACAATCATAGAACAAATAATGCACCAATATACAATCACCAAAAAGCAAAGTATTAGAAACACAGGAAAAATGTGAATACTGTTGTTGAAGAAAGGTTACACAGCAGTACATACACTAAATTCCACTGAATCGTACACTTTAAAGATGAATTTTATGTGGATTAAATTCCTTTTTGTTTGGTTTTTGGTTGTTGGAGATGCAAAGGGAACAGAGAAAAACAGCGCCCATCTGCTGTTTCACTCCCTGAGTGCCGCAGTGAGACGAAACCCGAGAGCCAGGAACAATTCAGGGCTCCGGTGAGGCTGGCAGGAACCCAATTATCTGGGCCCCGCCTCCCGTCCCCAACAGTCTACATTAGCAGGAAGCTGGAATAAAGAGCCAGTGCAAATATGGAACCCCAGCACTCTGAAGTGGGAGCTGGGCATCGTAACAATTTTGCCACACTCCCATCCTGCAAACTATATGTCAATAACGCTGTCAGCCCTCTGCATGCGCCACAGCAAGTGAACAATCTCACGTAAGCACTCTTTCATAAACATGATTTTTCTAACATCTAAAAAAACTAATAAAAATAAAAACAATTTAAAAAACTTTTTAGATACAGATTGAAACAAAATTTTAAAATACACAACTATTTTAAATAGGTAACTATCTGTTTAAATATGCTTTTAGACAGATAACTATTTAAAAATTATCTGTTAACTATCTGATAACCTAAATGTCATATAAACTGTCCCAAGAGCTGGAGTGAACCTTTCAGTGGGGTCTGCATTCCGTAACAACATTCCTGATAATTCACATCAGATGAGCTGCTCAACACACTTTGTAAGTTCTAATGCTGTAATGTACAATTCATAAAACACCTTCAGTTTTTTGACACTTTCTAAAATGCTCATAAAATTGCTATACAAACTAATTTTTGTTAAAATTTATACATAAAATCTGTTCACTGTTTTTGGAGTTTTAGCCTTTACCTACATTTCAAAAATAAAAACAGTACAATCAGAAAAGCAGAGTACATTAGTTCCAATGTTTGAAAGACTTCAAAACAAAAACCATACCTGTCATGTAGAAATCTTTTATTGTTAGCTGAGGTGGAACAAGAGGGTCGGCAAGAAGCTGCTGATTCACAAGCTGGGAAAAAAAAATAAACAAGGTGTGAAATATGAGCACAGTAACAGCATTAAAAACTTTCCTATCACCAACACTGACCACGCACATGAGCTGGCTTTTACCTTGGAGAGCTCGCTAGCTTGCTGGAAGTAGTTGGCTCCTTCAACATCATCATACCGAACAAGATTAGGAGCAACTTCTTCAAGCCTTTTCCTCACTTGATCCAGAGTATCATATGGAAGAGTTAAACCGGCAATCTACAACACAGATCCCCAAAAAAGAAACAAAGCTTTAATATTTAAAAAAGTTTAAATAATTCATAATTGTAACTATGGTGAAATAAAGTACTAACACTGTAAAATCTATTGGTATTCATTTGAGATTACACATTAAGGAAACAAATGAGGTACACAAAAGTCAAAATATATAATGTATAAACAGCTATAAACTGATATATAATTCAGTTTATCAGTTCATTTATTTTTAAAAAATGGGACTTACTGGGGCCTGTGTTGTGGTACAGCACATAAAGCTGCTTCTTGAGAGCCTTGTGATGTCATGTACCTTATGGGCACTGGTTCAAGTCACACCTATACTGCTTAAAATCCAGTTCCCTGCTGATGACTAGCCTGGGAAAGCAGCAGAAGATGGCCTAAGTGCTTGGCACCCTGCATCCATACGAAAGACCTAGAGGAAGCTCCTCCAGGCTTCCAGATTTGACCCAGCCCAGGCCAGGCCACTGTAGGCAGTTGTGAAGTAAACCAGTAGATGGAAATATCCCCCTTTCAAATAAATGAATGAATGAATAAATAAATAACCTTAAGCAAAAACTGACTATGAAATAGACACTGCTAGCCAAAATCTGAGTATTCCTTACCTGTTATGAATCATATGCAAAGTTACACATAATGTGCAATAAGTTCCATAATATTCCCTTTAATAACAAGGAAATAAAAATAAGAATTTTAAATCCCATTTTCTGAAGACATTTTTCTTACATAAATTATTTACTTGTACATTTCAGACCGTGATCTTCCTTGACCTTGAAAGTCATTCTAATCAGCTAATATGTCAAATATCTTTTTAGCTACATTACTAAGAAATACCATAAAAAGAATACCTCAGAAAGGGCTCTTATGATTTTCCAGTCTTCTCTAGCCAAGCCAGGAGGTGTCACTGCTACTTTCGTCTGCTGAGCTCTGCCCTCGGTGTTGACGTAAGTAGCAGACTTCTCTGTGTAAGCAGCTCCTGGGAGAATGACATCAGCTATGGGAGCCCCAACATCACCATGATGTCCTGTAAGACAGAAACAACAAAATGTACTTAGTGAAAACTTGATTCACTATCGTACGTTATGCTATACTGGAATTTTAAAGTTACTACAAATATCTTTACAAATATTTAAACATTGTATTTGAAAAGCAGATTTTATAGAGAGGACAGACAGAAGATAGAGAAGGCCTCCATCTGCTGGTTCACTCCTCAAATGGCTACCAAGGTGAGAGCCAGGAGCCAAGAGTTTTTTCCGGGTCCCCCATGTGGGTGCAGGGACCTAAGGACTAGAGCCATCCTCCACTGCTTTCCCAGGCCACCAGCAGGGAGTTGGATCAGAAAACAGAACGGCTGAGAGCACATATGGGATGCCACCTCTTGGAGGTAGAGGATTAGCCTGAAATGTTAATCCGCATTGGCTCAGATAAGTGTTGCCAAAGCACTCAAATGAGGAGGAATTAATGCAAATACAGAACAGGATTATGAACAAAAGCATGGGAAAAAGGTATCAACGCAAAATTAATAGAAAAGAGTATTCTGAAACTCTATTACTCAGTAACAATGAACAAAACATGTAGAAAAGCTATGCAGGAGCCGGCACTGCAGCACAGCAAGTTAAACCACTGCCTACGATGCCAGCATCCTATCATGCTGCTCCACCTCCTACTCAACTCTGCTAATGCACACAGGAATGCAGCGAAAGATGGCGCAAGGCCTTGGGCCCCAGCCACCTCTACGGGAAATCCACATTGAATTCCTCATTCTCAGGTTATGCCCCATGATTTGGGGAATGAGCCAACAGACCGAAGGTCTAATTCTGCCATCCAGAATTAATCTTTCGGTAAAAAAGATACAGAACATTTCCTTTGAAAGGAAGTAAATTTCAGAAGCTAATGCAATGGCTTACTGGTGTAAGGCTCCAACTGTGGCGACAGCATCCCATATGTCCCAGCTGCTGCACTTATGCTCCAGCGCCACTGGTGGCCTGGGAAAGCAGAAGAGGATGGCCCAACACTTTATACCGTGATACCCCCACGGGAGACCCAGAGGAAGCTCTAGGCTCCCAGCTTCAGACTAGCTCAGCTCTGGATGCTGCAGCAATTTGGAGAACAGGCCAAGGAGTGAAAATCTGTCTCTTCCTAATTCTAATCTTCAAAAAAAAAAAAAAAAAAGAAATCTTACCCAAAAAAGTGGGGGAGGGTGAGAAGGCCCGTCACAGTAGCCCAGCGGCTAACGTCCTCACCTTGAACATGCCGGGATCCCATATGGGTGCCAGCTTGTGGCCCAGGAAAGCAGTCGAGGATGGCCCAAGGTCTTGGGACCCTGCACCCATGTGAGAGACGAGGAAGAGTGGAGAAACCAGTAGGGGGGAGGGTGATCCATTCACTGATTCACTCCAAAGGCTGCAATGGCCAGAGCTGTGCTAGTCCTAAGCCAGAAGCCAGGAGATTCCACCAGATTTTCCAGGAGGGTGTGGAGGCCCAAGAACTTGGGGCCATCTTCTCTGTCTTCCCAGGCACATTGGCAGAGAGCTAGATAAGAAACAGAGCAGCAGGGACAACCAGTGCCCATATGGGATGCCAGGGCGATAGGTGAGGCTTTGCTTGCTATACCACAGTGCCAGTCCCAGGGGAATAATTTTTAAAAGCAATATGAGTTACAGTTTGTGTTAAGACAACTGGTGGGCAGGAAAATTATTTAGTTCACTAAACATATTCAACGTACTATTCAAATGTACTTAGTGAAAACTTGATTCACTATCGTACGTTACGCTATACTGGAATTTTAGTAATAGATCCTAATATACATAAAGCAATATTCTATTCTGTTTCTGGCATGACATTTGCCACTTACCTTGATAAACGATGAAACAATCCTTTGGTAAATCCTGTCGCGTGACACAGCCTCCATCTGCTCCCAGGAGAAACAATACTTTGGGAGGGTTCTTTCTGATCGCTTCCACCCCGGGTTTATAGCCAAGATCCAGAGCAGCCACTTGGCTTGCAATCCTGCAAAAGCAATTAAGGAACTTTACTGTACTAGCAATTTTCAGTAAAAATATTACACGTGAATTTTTGGAATGACATCTAGTTTCTTTTCCATTCCTGCTATCCAAGGCCTTTTCTTATCCATGTCAAAACCAAAAATACTAATGTTATAACGTTCTAAAAGCCAACAATAATGTAAGATGGTTAGGACACTGTGAGTCTCTTCAAGAGATAATATATAATTGAACAATTCTAGAATCTTTACACTGTAATTATCTCCAGTGTGGCATTTTTCAGTATGCTAAGATATTAAAGATATAAACCAAGCATATTCCTAAGATAAAAAACTAATGTTTTTGAAAACCAAAAGTGATCAATTTTAAAACCATTAACAAACCTGTAATTCAGAGAAAACCATAATTCTGGTGTTATATCCTTTGGAATTCTGTCTAAGAATACAAAAAATTATACTTTTGTAATTTTAACCAGAAAGGCAGATTTACAGAGAGAAGGAGACAGAAGTATCTTCCCTCTGCTGGTTTACTCCCCAAGTGGCAGCTTCTCCTGGCAGAGACTCACATGCAGGTTCAGGACCCCAAGGCATTGGGCCGTCCTCGACTGCTTTCCCAGGTCACAATCAGGGAGCTGGATGGGCAGCGGGGTGGCTGGGACAGGAACAAGTGACCATAAGGAATTCCAGCTTGTGCAAAACGAAGATTTAGCCACTGAGTCATCCAGCTAGGGCCACAAAATTATTCTTATTACAGGAATCCAAAGAGAGATTTAAAATAACTAAGCTTTGAAACAGTAGGGTTGCTTTGGTCTTGAAGACCTACGGTGTGTAAGTTAAACTGGTACAACCTTTCTAAAACAGGTTGGAAGCATCTATCAAGAGCCTTAAAAGTGTTTATTTGGGGGAAATTCTTAAAAGAAATTATAGTAACAACAAAAAGTAGGGCCCAGCACAGTAGCCTAGTGGCTAAAGTCCTTGCCTTGAACACACCAGGAACCTATATGGCCACCAGTTCTAATCCTGGCGGCCCCACTTCCCATCCTGCTCCCTGTAGCCTGGGAAAGCAGTGGAGGGCGGCCCAAAGCCTTGGGACCCTGCACCTGCGTGGAAGACCTGGAAAAAGCTCCTAGTTCCTGGCTTCAGTTCAGCTCATCCTGGCAGCACTTGGGGAGTGAATCAGCACATGGAAGATCTTTCTCTCTGTCTCTCCTCCTTTCCATACATCTAACTTTGCAATAAAAAGCAAATAAATCTGACAACAACAAATGATGAACTGTTTATTCAGTTATGACTTGCACATGATTTGGCTCCCCAAGCTCAGTTGTGTGTTAGGAACTGACGGGTTAAAGAATCAGACATGATCTGACTCTAGCACCTGGGAGGCCGACCCAGTGTGAGGTCTTTATGTCACTGGCGTCTTGCTCCTGGAACACAGTTCTCACAGGAGAATGGGTTACATAAGCTGAGCATAAAACCCTGTCTACTTCCTCAATGTGTGGGGCTGCCTAATTTTGGACTGCGAGCCTCCAACCTTTAATTCAAAATAAAGCTTTTGCTTTCTTATGTGTCACAATCTCAAGATTTTTGTTGTTGTTGAAGATTTATTTTCCTTACTTGAGAGACGGGGAGACACAGGAGATTTTTCTATCCGCTGGTTCACTCCCTACATGGCCACAGTGACCAGGTCTGCGCAGGTCAAAGCCAGGAGCCTGGATCTGCACCCCCAATCCTCACTGTGGGGAGCACAGGCACTGGAGCCATCCTCTGCTTTCCCAAGTGCAATATCAGGGACTCGGGTGGAAGGTGACTAAACTCATCCAACACGGGATGCTGGCATCGCAGTCATCACAGAGGCTTAATCAGCTACGTCACAATACTAGCCCCACTCAGGGTATTTCACTTGAAGTAATAAAACTCTAACATACCATTATAGTTCTATTTTTGAAGTCTACCTTAAGGAAACAAAGTTGAGAGATGTGTATATCAGTACACTAATTAAACACATGTATTAATGTAACAGTAAAAAGGAAATGAGCAATAGAATATTAAGGAACTATGCATGTTTTTATTCACAAAGAATTTCCAGGGCCTGACAGCGTGGCCTAGCAGCTAAAGGCCTTGCCTTGAACACAGAAGGATCCCATATGGACATCGGTTCTAATCCCAGCAGCTCCACTTTCCATCCAGCTCCCTGCTTGTGGCCTGGGAAAGCAGTGGAGGACGGCCCAAAGCCTTGGGACCCTGCACCCGTGTGGGAGACCTGGAGGAAGTTCCTGGCTCCTGGTTTCAGATTGGCACAGCACCGGCCATTGCACTCACTTGGGGAGTAAATTATCGAACGGAAGATCTTTGTCTCTGCTCCTCTCTGTACATCTGACTTTGTCATAAAAATAAATGAATCTTAAAAAAAAAAAAAGAATTTCCAATTGTGGGAGGAAGCTCTTAAGCCTGTGACAAGGGGCTGGCACTGTGGCACAGCAGGCTAAGCAGTTACCTGTAATCTTGCTGCTTCACTACCCAGCTAACTCCCTGCTTACACACCTGGAAAAGCGGAGGATAGTGGTCCAGGTGTTTGGGCCCCTGCCACCTGTGTGGGGAACGTGGCTGGAGTTCCTCACTCCTACGCCGACCACGTGCGATCATTCAGTGAGTAAACTAGGGGGAAGAGCTCTGTGTGCCTCTTTCTCTCTCCACAATTCTCTTAAATAACAAATCCTTAAAAGTAAGAAAATATAAAAATGTCTGCAACAGCCAGGGATGTAAAGGATCCTAACACCTCAGCTATATCCGGCCACCTTCCAAGGACCTTAGCAAGAAGCCGAGCAGGTGGTACTATAGGGAAGCTCTCTGATATGCGACAAGCGTGTGCAAGCAGGAGCCTAACCTGCTGGGGCACAATGCACACACCAGGAAATCCTACTTGGTAATGAAAGCTGATGAAAAGCAGAGCACAAAACTGTATTTACAGTATGATTTCAACTAGACAAAAAAAACATTTACACAGAAAAAAATTAAATGTACCAAAACAGAAATAGCAATTATTTACTTATTGTAGAATAACAATCTTTTCAATTTTGTATACTTCGCTTTCCAATTTTTCAAAGAGCAAAGCATACATTGATATAATCCTTTTAAAAATAATCTCAATTTTCCTGTTAGCTTAAATTTAAATGATTAGTATTTGATCAGATTCAGATGATCTGTTCCAATTTTTGAGCTAAAGTATAACTTTTAATATTCATTTTTCTTTACACTATTATTACTTATTTTAACATTATTTGTTAATTTGATTTTTTCACATAGATTTCATACCTGCAACTGGGATAATGTTTAGTCTCAAATTGCTTGCAAATCTAAATGTGACAGCATAACAAGAACACATATCCACAAAATCATTTGCATTTTATACCATAAAGAGAATTACTCAACAAACCTATGAAGGATATTCATAACTTTCCAATCATCAGCAACACCACTAGTCATCCTAATTTTCTGTGCGATGCTGGAAACGGCTGCAAGAATTGCTGCCCCATCACTCCTTTGGAGTGCAGAACTGCCTAAGACGACCATTGGTTTTTTAGCTTCCTTTAGGACCTATTAAAAACAAAACAAGACAATTTTTTAAAAGATTAGAAGTAGATTAAATGTCTAATCAAACCTACATCAATGGTTGTCCCTTATCTTTTGCTCAGTCTGCTAGCCAAGTCCTTGGGAGACAGAGGAAGCTCCTGACTTCAGATTAATTAAGCTCTGGCCAGCGCTGCCATTTTATGAGTGAGCTAGTGGATGGAGGATCTCTCTCACTTGCTCTCCACTCTGTAAATCTATCTTACAAATAAGAACAAATACATCTTAAAAAAATATAAAAGACAATCCTAGCCAACCACCAGAGTAACTATGGGTAAATTCCAGACAAATTGGGTTATATCCCTATGGAAATTTAGATGGTGATACGCTCAAAGATTCATGTCCATGACCCAGTGCATTGGCCCAGTGACTAAATCCTCGCCATGAATGTGCCAGGACACCACATTGGTGGCGGTTTGTGTCCCAGCTGCTCCACTTCCCATCCAGCTCCCTGCTTGTGGCTGGGAAAGCAGTTGAGGACGGCCCAAAGCTTTGGGACCCTGTACCCACATGGGAGACCAGGAAGAAGTTCCTGGCTCCTGGCTCCTGACTTCGGACTGGCCTGGCACCGGCTGTTGTGGTCACTTGGGGAGTGAATCATCAAACAGAAGACTTTTCTCTCTGTCTCTCCTCTTCTATGTATATCTGACTTTCCAATAAAAATATATAAATCTTTTTTTAAAATGAATTACATATAAACTATCAAGGATAAATAACCTAAATGGCACAACAAAACAAAAAATCAGGAAAGGGCGGAGACAACATTAGGCTGACATTAGCTGAAAAAACAGTGTGATCTTAGAAATGTGTATCATGATAAGCTTCCTTTTCAGAAGTAAAACACATTCTCAAATAAACAAAAAATGAATTAAAAAAATCTAAAAATACATAACTTTTTAAAAAGAAACATTGGTAAATCTTCTTTTAGGAACAGTAAAAGTAAAGAAAAATTTAATTTAAACTGAAACTTCAATTTTTGGGTCCACTGTTGCAGCACTCATAGCGTAAGGCAAGCCTCTTTGGGTAGCACAAGCATCCCACCCGGGTGCCGCTCCGTGTCCAACTCTGACCCAGCTCCCTGCATGTGGCCTGGGAAAGTGGCAGAGGGTTTCCCAAGTCCTTGGCAGCCTGCACCCATGTGGCAGACTAGAAGGAGGGTCCAGGGTCAGGGCTTCGGGTCGATCCCGCTCCTATCATTGCAGCCACGAGGGGAGAGAAGTAGTGACCGAAGATCTCTCTCTGACTCACCTTTTCCCTGTAACTGTTTTCCACATAAAAGTAAATCTTTATAAAAAGATTCTATCAATTTCACTTCCATTATTTTCAGATAATTTCAAGTAAATTTAACCCTAATTAATAAAAAGAGCAAGCATTGTATGGTATAATTTCTATATCTATTACTGTCCATAAACAAAGAGAAGTCATTAAAAGCTTTTATCAATACTTGTTACGGGATGCTGGGATTCTGGTTAATGCTTTACTTTTGTCTCATGTTTTTTTCTGTACTGATATAATTTTTACCAATAACCACACTGTGTAATCAGCAAAAGAACAAATCTTAGAAATAATTAAAAACCAACAACAGTAGAAAGGTAACTCGAGAGCACCTGGCTGAATGGATGGGTGTCAGTAGCAATGTCCTGAAGAATCTGGGGAGAGTCTCCCAGATGATTGTATCTGTAAGTGAGGTCCACTGGACTGCCTATAAGGGCCACTTTCAAGTCATTATGAAGCCAACTGAAATGAAAACGTGTGTAGAGCTAAGTAAGTACAATTATTGGTTTCACTGAGGCTAAGTGCTACATTTATTATAAAATGTTTAACGCACAAAAGCACACAATGAACATTTAACAGATATACTATGAAAATACAGTGCCACAAAAACAAAAAAAGTAACAAAACAAAACAAACAAAAACACCCCAACAAATCACTAAAGAAATCCAGTGCGTTAATTTGTTGTATAGGAAGACACACTATAAGCCAGTTAAAAAAATTTTTTTACACTAACTGATTTGTATGTTTTATTTTGTAGTATTTACATGGCAGACACAATTATCTCTTAATTGTCCATTAAGAACACTTACAACACAGTTCATGGAAAAAAGAAAAAAAACTACATAATTCACATTTATTGTTTGGCCAGACAACATGGATCCATTTCCCCAGAAATAGTTAACTGCTATGACAACATATATGATTTGTCTGAGATAGTGCTATTTTTCAATTGTTATCCTTTTATTAAACAGGAAAAGGAAGGTACTAAAGATCAGGATATTAACCTGCAATATATAGCTAAAGACTGGAGGCTGGGCAAGAAAAAAAAGCTATAAAAGAAGTCATGAGAAAATGGATGCGATATGAATATGAACTGTGGATTAGGTTAACAATGTTTTTGCCAACATTTACTTTCTTGATTAAAAAAAGAGAATGTCCTTTCTCCTTAGATAATCCAAATTGAAGTATGTAATAAATGAGCACTATTTCTGCAACTTCCAAATGATCTAGAAAACTACTCACATTTAGTCATATGCAATCATAAAATGGTAAAATATTAACATCCATTAATCTGAGTGAACAGGTATCCATCTTCATTTGAAAATTTAAAAAATTAGCAAAACAAATAAGATGGAGACAAACCTGGAGACAATTATCCTTTTGGAGTTTCAGCTACAATGTAACTTTTTTCATACATAAGACAGAAAAGATTACCAAAATATTATTACTAACCTCTTTCGAATTCTTGCATTAAACAGTGGTGCCTCAAAACGTGGATTTGTACCAACCAGAAGAACAACATCTGCCTCTTCCACACCCGCAATTTTGGAATTAAGGAGATAATTGGAACGCAAATCTGTGCTAGAAACAGAGTATGTAAAATACAAGTTTACTTCACTTAAAAATTTGTATCTGACAAAAATTCACAGGATAATCTTGCATCGGCAAATTTACAGCACTTGCAGACAAAAAAATTTCATGAAATATCTCACTATTAAATAAGTCAAAGTTCAGATACTTGGCGTTAACCAGATACTCTCACCTACAGTAATGATGTGCTCTTGGTCTGTATGTGAAAATAAATAGGCGGTTATGTCAGAGAATTCAGGCTGCCAAACATGGTCATTAATGTGGTTGTTTAGTAACTTGTAAATGAAAGACAAACGAAGGTCTCAACCGTAAGATTTTATTCCTCACCCTGCTCCTGCAGTGGGGAAGACCTCTTCGGTGCACAACGAGTCCGAATCCACTCGATTCAGCAAATCTTTGAGAGCTACCAGGGCCTCAGCATCCACCAAGCCACCTGCAATCGCTGCCACATCCTTGCCTTGAAAACTCTGCAACTAAGACATCAATTGAGAGATTATCACCAAGAAGTCTGCATTTAGCAATAGCCATAATGAATTGTTCAGAAAATTTTAAAAACCAGCTAAAAAGTTACTAATCGTTAATCTTAAGAAACTGCAGAGGTGTGTGTGGAACCAAAGTTAATAACAACAAATCAGAAGGAAGCTTTTGAATATTTAGGAATCAAAGGGCTTCAAAAAGAGGGGGCTGGCATGCTGAAATAGCATGCTAATCTTGCACCTGCTAACACCAGCATCCCATATGGTACCAGTTTGTGACCTGGCTGCTCCACTTCTAATCCAGCTCTCTATTTACGACCTAGCAAAGCAGGGGCATACAGCTCAAGTCCTTGGGTCCCTGCACCATGAGAAACCGGGAAGAAGCTCCTGGACCCCAGCTTCAGGTCAGCTCAACTTCTTGACACTGCAGGCTTTCGGGGAGTGAACGAACGGATACAGATCTCTGTTTCTCGTTTTCTCTGTAAAATCTGCCTTACTTAAAAAGAAAAAACAGAGAGAGAGAAAACTGAAGGGGGTGTTCTGGAGAACTAGGGCTCTGAAGCTATGGTCAGTTACTTTAACTGTATCCTCATCTAAACAAACTGCCCTTCCTTCCAGCCGTTTGTCCAGGTTGCCCGCCTTTGACGCCAAAACCATCCCTTTCACTTTTTTTTAAAAAAAAGATTTATTTATTTTTACTACAAAGTCAGATATACAGAGAGGAGGAGATATAGAGAGGAAGATCTTCTGTCCAATGATTTACTCCCCAAGAGAGCACAATGGTCGGTGCTGTGCCAATCCAGAGCCAGGAGCCAGGAACTTCCTCCAGGTCTCCGATACGGGTGTAGGATCCCAAGGCACTGGGCCATCCTCAATTGTTTTCCCAGGCCACAAGCAGGGAGCTGGATGGGAAGTGGAGCTGCTGGGATTAGAACCGGCGCCCATATGGGATCCCGGTGCCTTCAAGGTGAGAACTTTAGCCACTAGACCACACCGCCGGACCCCATCCCTTCCACTTTTGCTCTGGCAAGCTCACACCCACTCTCCGAGGCTGCTTCCAGGACCATCCTCTCTAGGAGAGCATCTTGATGTACTAGCCTTGCTCAGACATCCCTCCTCTCAGCGCCTTTTTACACCACTTCCTGTACAACTACTCATCACAACACATGATTTACATAATTAGGCATGTATGCATCTTTCTCTGCCATAAGACTGTGGAAAGTGGACAATTCTGTCTTTATATCCTTTTACCCTGCATACATAACATCTGACATATGACTCTCAAATGATTGTCAAACGGATGGAGATTGTTACCTTGGTAAGAGAAAAAGAAAAGAGAACATATCTTTTTACAGTACAGATGTTTCTTAAAAATCAACTATTATATATAATATATATTATAATCACATGAATTATATATTTTATAGAAAATAAATTTTATATAAACACATAATTATATATTATATATAATCATACATAATTAGGTAAAATCAACTATTATATATATAGATATACTATTTATTTTATTTTTTAGGTTGATTACCATTCCAGCCACTCGAGACAGTGCATCCTCCCAGGAGGTATAGGTTAAAAGCCCCTTTTCATTTCTGACCATTGGCTCCGTAAGTCTTTGACGTTTTAGCCCATCATAGGCAAATCTAGATAACAGAAATTATACCATTTGTAAAATTTTACTGAAGAGGCTACTATATGTTCAAGTTTAACATGCACAAGAAATCCTACTTAAATAAAGTGTTAAATATTTAGACTATTCTGAGAACATTATCTGAAAGCCAAATACTATCTAGAATGCTTTCTTTCAAGTACCTCAACCATCTTAAAAATTTTAACACAAGCATACCTGATGGTTGAAAGTCAAATATTTTATTTCTAATACTTCGGTGTCTCTAGATATTTAATCGAAACTGCACTGTGAATGGACTGGTGTTGTGATGCAATGGGTCAGCCCGACACAGACACCGGTTTAAGACTTGGCAGTTCCACTTCCAATCCAGCTCCTTGCCAATGTGCCTGGGAATGCAGCATCGGCCCCTCCCATCCACATGAAAGATCTAGACAGATTTTCACTTTCCAGGCTTTGGCCTGGTCCAACTCCAGCTATTGCAGATACTTGAGGGGATACTTGAACAGCAGATGGAAAAATCTTTCTCGTGTCTCCCACTCTTAAGCTCTTTCCAATAAATACATCAATCTTTTGAAAAATATTACAATCTGCAAACTTTTATAGACCTAGGACTATTTTTCTTAAAGATTTATTTATTTTTATTGCAAAGTCAAATATACACAGGAGGAGAGACAGAGAGGAAGATCTTCCATCTGATGATTCACTCCCCAAGTGCCTGCAATGGTTGGAACTGAACCGATCCGAAGCCAGGAGCCAGGCAGGAGCTTCTTCCAGGTCTCCTACAAGGGTTCAGGGTCCCAAGGCCTTGGACCGTCCTCCACTGCTTTCCCAGGCCACAAGCAGGGATCTTGTTGGGAAGTGGAGCTGCCAGGATTAGAACTGGCACCCATATGGGATGCCAGCATGTTGAAGGCGAGGACTTTAGCTGCTAGGCTACTGTGCTGGGCCCAGACCTAGGAGTCTTAAAGTCAGGGTTTTTTTTTTTTTTTTTTTTTGCTATCTTTATAAGCAGTTCAAATTTCAACAATGTTTATTAGATAATGTAACATAAAATATAGCTCCTTAAAATCATTATAGTTTCTTTCTGAAATAGAAGGGAAAATACAGTACATACCTGGTTTTATCAGAGATCCACTCTTCATTGATGTCCTCATGCATACGTGGCAAGATTCTCATCACCTCTCCAGTTCTTGTGCTAACCACAATATTACTTCCAACTGCATCCATAACATCAATGGATTCTGTCTTTCTGAAAAATAAATACACATACAAGAGAATATGTCTCAGCTCATGGAAGGTCAGGCATTGTGACACAGCCAGTTAAGCTGTGACTTAAAACATACACATCCCATAACAGTGAGCCTAGGTCAAGCTTATTTTTGCTTCCAATCCAACATTTTGCTAATGTACACCCTAGGGAGCAGCAGCTGCTGGCTCAGGTACTTGCACCCTGTCACCCACTAGGTGACCTGAGTGGAGGACTTGCTGCCTCCTAAATTTGGCCTGGCCCAGCACTGGCTATTGTGGGAACCTGGAAAGTGAATCAGTATCAAAGGCTATAAAACAATTTTCAGACACACATGTGCCCCTCTGCCAAGTCATGCCAGGCAATGCTGGGGAATCTGCATGAAGGACCTCTCTCAAATGCAGCTCCTGAACATCACAGCCTTAAAAACATGAGATGAATAAAGCTTTAGTCTTCACTAAAGAAAAAAAAAGTCTATTATCTGCTGCCGAACGTAGTACTGAGGGGGAACTCAGTTGGGTGGAGGGAATTTGGGGAGGGTATAAGGGAAATCCCAGAGCCTATGAAATTATATCATAAAATTAAAAACAAAATAGCAAAAAATTAAAACAGCCTAACAGTTATGACTCAGGTTGATTTATTTGCATCCCATGCTGGAAAGACAAGGCTGTATATCTGGCACTGCCTCCTAAATCTAGATTCCCATTCAACAGGAACCATGGTTTGCAGAGTTGATGGCTCAAGAAGCTGTTTTCTGATTACCCATACAGGAGTCCGCACTGCACTTCAGCCTCCCGGTTTCTGTGCGCAGGCCTACTGTGGGCATTTAGGTCATCAATAAGCATATGGGAGCTCCCTCTTCTTCTCTGTTGCTTTTTTCCCAAATAACTTTTTAAATAAATCTGCTTTAAGAATGATTTTATTTTTATTGAAAGGCAGTTACAGAGCTCGGCACAATAGCCTAGTGGCTGAATGCTTGCCTTGCATGCACTTTGGGATCCCATACAGAGTGCAGGTTCATGTCCTGGCTGCTCCACCTCCCATCCAGCTCCCTGCTTGTGGACTGGGGAAGCAGTCGAGGACGGTCCAAGGCCTGGGACCCTGCACCCGTGTGGGATACCCGACGGAAGCTACTGGCTCCTGGCTTCAGATTGGCTCAGCTTCAGTTGTTGTGGCTACTTGGGGAGTGAGACAGTAGATGGAAGAGCTTTTCTCTGTCTCTCCTTTTCTCTGTAGATATTACTTTCCAATACAAATAAATAAATCTTTTTAAAAAAATTTATAAACAGCAAGCTTCACAAACTTATAAAGAAAGATAAACAAGCTTTCTAAAATAGGATCTTGTTAAACACCAAGGCATGCAAGCATCTACATGGCTACAAACTTAATACACAATAAGGAAAGTATATATTTATAATCTCCAGATTATTTTACTCCATGGACAGGTAAGCTAGAACATAACTTTGTGGTTAAGTATTTTAGTAATCTTCAAGAAAACTAGCACTAGTTTACAGAGGTTCCTCTGGCCTCATTCTAACAACTCATCTTTTATTAAAAGTGTTACTTAAAGCAAACAAAAACTTAACAGACTAAAAATGTTCACAAGCTTACCAATTTGTTTTTGGAATAGTAGTGAATTAAGATCAAAAAAGATAATTGTAAAAACACAAAGATAGGGCCTGGAGCGGTGGCACAGTGGTTAAGGTCCTCGCCTTGCACCCCTGGGATCCCATATGAACGCCGGTTCTAATCCCGGCAGCTCCACTTCCCATCCAGCTCCCTGCCTGTGACCTGGGAGGGCAGTCAAGGACGGCCCAAAGCTTTAAAGCTTTGGGACCCTGCACCCGTGCACCGTTGCGCTCACTTGGGGAGTGAATCATCGGACAGAAGATCTTCCTCTCTGTCTCTCCATGTCTCTGTGTATCCGCCTTTCCAATAAAAAAACAAAACACAAAGATAATCCAATACCTTGTCTCCCAAGGCCGTGCAGTAAAAGCATAGGGTTTGGAAGTTAGTGCACCTACAGGGCAGATATCAATGATATTTCCAGACAGCTCCGACATGAACATCTTTTCAATGTATGTGCCAACTTGCATATCATTTCCTCTGCCTGTTGTTCCCAAATCATCCACACCTGCAATCTCACTTGCAAACCTGTAATTAAAAAGTGTGTTATTAAATGGTTAAGTCCAGCAAAATTGTTCCTTTCCTCTATATGATCACAGATAATAGGAGGCACAGTCCCCGAGCAAAAAGCTCGGTAAATGTCTGCATTAAATTTAAGGTATAACACACAAATAACAAAAAGAAAATTATACAAGTATCACAAACTGAATGCTTATTGATTTTAATTCTTAAATCCAACTGAAATTATGTTAGCTGAACAACTACCATGTTATTGGTATATGCAAAAGCCATTTAAGAACAACATTCCTCTTCTGAACTCACATTGGTTGCCACAGTATCTCTGATGTCATTTCACCTGTTTGTGAGAACTAAGTCAGGATTCGATACTGCAGAAAAGAGAAGGGGGAACTACCTGATGCAGCGAGTGCACTGTATGCATCTGGTCATGATAGTCTTCACCAACGGCCCCAAATTCTTGTCCTCCACAGCACGTTTCCCCTCTAAAAATCGGCTCCTATCACTTCCAAACATCATGGATTGGTCCTTAAACAGATTACAAAAGAGTCAATCCGCTGCCACCATGCAATTAAAACGCGAGACAACCCAGCAGGCTTACAAACTCTGACCACGTACCTGGAGATCACATTCACCTCCTTGGTCACAAATAGGGCAGTCCAGCGGGTGATTTGCTAGTAAGAACTCCATCACACCTTCTCTGAATACAAATTTTAATTTAAAAAATGACATAAGTTGCTAGGACTCAAAAGTATTTACCTATAAACGTTTAAATAACTTTCAAAGACAAATACTTTCTTATAATTTCACATGAATTTAATATCAGAATGCCAATGTAACTCTCATTCCGAAAGTAGTATATGGAAATTCTTCATAGAAATCTCCATTAAAATATTAGAAAACCTACAAAAATCAGTACTTTAATAATACAGAGTTGTCAAAAGTTCCTAAAGAGTCCTCAGAAAATACATCAATTAAAAACGAAAATATCGGAACTCATACATCTCAGTCCAATAGACCCAGACTCACAGTTCATGGTAAACTGAGCAAATTACTAGAGGTTTTCAATGTTGGCCCCACTCTAGATTCAACTGCACAAATCTCAGACTTCACCTACTTCAATGAAAAAGTCATCAACGCAAAGGATTAAGTAACAAAATGTGTAATTTCTCTGTTCTACTATATTAATAACAAAAAAATACCGGGCTTTCTTGGATTTTTCTGAGTTTGTCAGAATATTCCAACCCTTCATTACTGGCATGGCACATGCAGCTACAACCTAGAATTCCAATGGAAAAAAAAATCCTTATTTGCATGTATTTGTAATTACAAACAACCTAATGTATGAAAATATTCAATTACACAAAAGCATTAAACTACACATTTAAAATCAAGCAAAAAAGCACAGTAACTTACTAAAAGTCGAATTTCTAAAATTTTTCTGTTCACAACATGACCATCTGGTACTTTGTACTTCTCTTAAAAACAAACAAGACCCTTCGATGGTGGATGAGACTTGTCCCCACAGAGGTGCACATGCTGAAGCTTGACCCTCAGTGTAACAACATTACCAGGTTGGGGGAAGAGGTGGGCCCTAGTGGGAGCCTGGGTCCCAGGGGCCCTAGTCAGAGCAGGGGTTAGGTCTGGCGAGACAGGATGAGTTCCCCAGAAGAGTAAGCCTGGCCCCCTCCTGCCTTCTTGTTTGCTCCTCTGCCACAGTGCAACACAGAGAAGACCCTGACCAGAGGCCAGCTAAACAAGACTGTACCATGGCCTCCAAAACTGAACTAAATAACTCTCCTTGTTTTACTAAAATATTAGAAAACCTACAAAGTCTAAATTGTACGTCATAGCAATATTGTTATAGCAATGCAAAGCAGACTAAGAGCAACATTCTGGCAGACAGAGAGAAGAAAGAATGAGGGCAACAAGGAAGTATTACTATATTCTTAGAATTATACTTATGAGTACACTGAATTAATAGCATTATTAGTATGAAAATTCAAAATTTTTTATAGTAACTGTTATGCATATGCTGTGACATCAAGAATCTAAAGTATTAATCAATCTCAAAACATAGACAAACGTCACGGTTTTAGTTTATTGTAACAGTATCATCTTTACTTGTTCTGAAACAAAAAAATTTTGTTTCTGATTAAGTAGACACTACTGAATTAAAAACATGCCAAAATGCAATCAAACTACGAGAGTGAACCCCTTTACTACAATGGTTTTCTCAAGTGAAAAATAAACCACATAAGTACTTTTAATTTGCTGCTTGAGAACATCCTCCTTGTGTGTCAGTTATTTGGAAATACTGACAGCTCTAAGTAATCCCCATTAACCTCTACACATCTGTGCAATTTACATGCCATTTGGGTTTGCAAAACACTTCCACCGTTGAGTTTCCAGTGTGAAATTAGTATCAGTTACCTGCCCCCCAAAATTAAATACTGACTATAAATAAAATTTGCTGCAGGATTTCAAGTTTCCTATCTCCTACAACATGGTATAAAATTTTAGGTGGCAAGTACCTTAGGTGCTTTCTCAATTTCCACAAGGCACATTCTGCAGTTTCCAGCAACAGACAGCCTTTCATGGTAACAGAAGCGAGGTATCTGCATGCCAACTTTCTCACATGCCTACAAGACAAAGTAAAAAACCTTTTGCATTAGCATGTGTGGGAGGGGCAAAAAGAACTTGCTGTTTTCTGTTGTTGCTGAAATACAGATTAAAAGAGAGTGAACTGAGTGAGTTCACCTATTCTGACCTATAAATCTGTTGACCATCACCAATTCATCGGGTAACTGAAGGAATTCCTTCCCTCTCTGCTCTTGATGCCAATCCTGCCTGGCTCTGATGCTGCCGGAGGAGCTGAGCACGTCTTCATTTACGTGGAAGAAACTGGATAGAGTTCCTGGGCTCTGCTGCAGGACTGACTTCTCATAACCACTCTGAACCACCATCCCGACCTGCAGACTAACCCAGCCATTTCCCAGCTGGACTTCTTTCTGCCCTGTTGCTCTCCTTTGGAGAGTAGAGATGCTACTTTACTCCCAGTGGATGCCTTCCTACATTCAGTTCAACATTCCTTCCCAGCACTCACAGTCCAGGTGTGGCTGCTGCCCTTCTCCAGTTCCTGCTTGCCTGTTTCACCAGCACCTCCTATTTGTCCACAAGGTTTTCCTCCTTTTAGCCTATGAACATATTTAAATTTCCACTAGAGTTGATGTATCCATCCTCATATCTCACTCTAAAACAGTCTACTAAATTTCCAATAATTTAACCACAAGTATTTTATCATCAATACTATTTTGCATGCCTTCTACATAATACATGCAATAGATGAGCACTTCAAAAAGATGAAGGTTACATAGGTGCAAGACATTTTCAAATCACTGCATATGCCAAGCTTTCAAAAAGTCTGTAGAAATGCATACTGCAAGAACCCATGGATTTCAGAATTTTATACAAGTTTACTATTTCTTTTCTATAACCTTTTTAAAAAGATTTATATATTTGAAGGATAGAGCAACAGCAAGAGGAGAGAACCAGTTTACTCTCCAAATGCCTTTCTACAGCCAGAGTTGATCCAAGTTAAAGCCAGGACTGGAACTCCATTTGGGTCTCCCACTGGCCATCATCCCATCTCTTAGGTCCCTTAGTAGGAGTAGGATGAGAAGTGGTTACAGACATCCCTAGTGACAGTGTAACCCACTATGCCTCAATGCCTCATGAACTTTTTGAAGTATGCTTGCATGGTAGTGAACAGACACTGCCCCAGGAGCTGGCATGATAGCTCAATGGGTCAATCCTCCACCTCCAGGTGTTGGCATACCATATGGGTGCTGGTTTGTGTCCTGGCTGCTTCATTTCCCATCCATCTCCCTGCTTGTGGCCTGAGAAAGGTAGTGCAGAATGGCACAAAGCCTTAGGACCCTACATGCATGTGGGAGACCTGATGGAGGATCCTGGCTCTCAGCTTTGTATCAGCTCAACACCATCTGTTGAGGCCATTTGGGGAGTGAATCAGATGCAAGATCTTTGTCTCTGTCTTTCCTTCTCTCTGCAAATCTGCCTTTCCAATAAAAATAAATAAAACTTAAGAAAAGAAAAAAGAAAAGAGAAAACCACACATAAGCAAAGATAAAGAATTAGATCCTATACTTACTTGGAGGACGGTTGTCCCTGGTTCCACCATGACGGACTGACCATCAACGAATACTTCAATCAAGTTGCTTGCGGCTGTGGCAGTTGTTCGAACTGATAGCCAAAAAACAAGTAAAAAAAACAGTTAACAGAGTTTAATTTATTAGGGTGCACAATTGATTAATTATATTTACATGCCTAAAATTTTTCTTCATTTTATACTACTCTTTAAACTTTTACAATATTAAGTTTGAGAAAAGCTTTCTCAGGCATGTGGCCACGGCCACAGGTTAAGCCAAGGCCTTTAATGCTAGCAAAGCAGCACAGGACTAGACAAGCACCTGGGCCCCTGTACTTCTACTGCAGCACTTGGGCCCCTGTACCTATACTGCGTTCCTGGATGAAGATCTGGGTTTCTGCCTTTAGCCTGGCCCTGGCCCAATCACTGCAGCCACTGAGGAGTAAACCAGTAGACAGGAGTTCTGTCTCAAACAAAATAAGTAAATCTAAAAAAAAATTAAAAGTTTTTAGCTTTCTGATTTTTCAAATTGAATACGGTTGTCTCCTTCCAAACGTTTAAACTCAAACTTTTGATATCACAGAAAATCAGTTCAAGGGAAGAGCACTTGTCAAAAACAGAATGATGCGATTTTCTACTTCGGCACGGACAGGTACTTCTTACCACTTTCCATCATATGAGCATTACTGTAAATTGTTTAAGGTAAAGCTGTTACTTTGAAAATCATTCTATCAACTTAGATAATTTATTTCTATTTTTCTTTAAAATAAATGATAGGCTTAGGGACTAAGAAACAGTTCACAGATCTACAAATTCACAAGGAAAGTTAGAAAAAAACTCACCACATCCTTTAGGGGATTTGGAAAGGCCCACCAAGGCCCTTCTCACAGGGATCCTGAACATTTTGCTAAAAATTTAAAGAAGAATTATATTATTGTAGGAAAGAAAACACCTAGTTACAAATTTTAGGGGACTATTTTACAGTTGTGAAGTCCTTGGGGGCAGGCATTTAATCTAGTAGTTAAATGCTGATTAAAGGGTTGGGAGTTGCAATGCAGCAAGTTGCCTGCTCAATGTTATCCCTGCTAAGGTGCCTGGGAAAGCGAGCATGAAGGCCCAACTTTTGGTCACTCACATGGAGGACATGAATGGAGTTCCAGATTCCAAGCTTTGGTCTGGCCCAGACACAGTCACTGGCCATTTAGGGAATGAACCAGTTAGTGGCTGGAAGCTTTCTTTCTGTCTTTCTTGCTCTGTCACTCAAATAAATCAATCTTAGGGACAAAAAAAAAGTAGTAATTAAGATTCTCACACCCCATGTAATAGTATCTTGATTCAGTATGCAGACCAGGCTCTTGAGTCTAGCTTCCTCAAGTAACTAAGCTACTAATGCCCAGGTGGGAACTGTGCTCCTGGCTCCAATACTGGCGTGTTTCTAGCTGGTATAGACATCTGAGGAGTGAACCAGGAGATGGCAATTCTCTTTCAAATAATAAATAAAAATTAAGTAAAGTAGCTCAAATGCATAACATCAGTAAACACAAGTTCTAATATTTTTTCCTCAAGCTCTGTAGATAAGAATATTTCATCTAGGGCTTGGCATTGTGGCCTACTAGCTAAAGTCCTCATCTTGAATGCGCCGGGATCCCATATGGAGGCCGATTCTAATCCCAGCAGCCCCGCTTCCCATCCAGCTCCCTGCTTGTGGCCTGGGAAAACAGTGGAGGACGGCCCAAAGCCTTGGGACCCTGAATCCTCGTGGGAGTCCTGGCTCCTGGCTCAGCTCCGGCCATTGCGGCCGCTTGGGTCTAGAATCATTGGACATTAGATCTTCCTCTCTGTATCTGTATATCTACCTTTCCAACAAAATAAATAAATCCTAAAACAAAAGAAAGAAAGAAAAAAAAAGAACATTTCATATAGGGTCTGGCATGGTAACCTAGTGGCTAAATCCTTGCATTGCATGCGCTGGAATACCATATGGGCACAGGTTCATGTCCCTGCTGCTCTACTTCCCATCCAGTTCCCTGCCAGTTGCCTGGGAAAGCAGTAGAGGATGCCCCAAGGCTTTGAACCCAGCACTCATGCGGGAGACCCGGAAAAGGTTCCTGGCTCCGGATCAGCTTAGCTCCAGCTGTTGCATCCACTTGGGAAATGAACCAGCAAATGGAAGATCTTTTCTCTGTCTCTCCTCTCTGTGTGGGTTCTAAGACAGCCTTACAAAACTGCTTACTAACAACTCAGTTTAAACACAATTCTGCACTAAAACAAAAACTCCTATCTATTCATTGAAATCTATGTGTGAACACAGCTGGGTCCAATCCATGCTTGCACCAGTACAAAAGTGTATCTGCCTTTCCAATATAAAATAATAATAAAAAGAATAAATCTTCTAAAAATATTTCATCTCAGTTACATCAACTGACTTACATTATATCAGTGAGCTATGCAGCCCGTTATTGCACAAACTTGGACTTAATAACAGAGAAATGATGAAACTTAACATATTGCTACATAGAATATCCTAAGAATATTCAGAGAATATGTGAAGTGAAGCCTGCCTTTCAGCATGCACTTCCCACCAATACGTATCCATGCTATCTAGGAAAGAAGTTATCTCATGGCTCCTGAGATGTTTGACAGCTCACAATCCCCAACCTCTCAGGTACCTTGAGTGCCTTTTATGTGCTGAACAATCAACTACTCACACAGATTTGCAGTTACGTGTCTATATGCATGCCTGTTCCACACTCACTTGTATTATAACTCCATGAATCTTTCTACCTTCAATCTCTTCACTGTGACAAACTCAAAACCGTAGTCTGGGCTAAAACAATTTTGATCATTAGTAAATACTGGGCTTTATGTAAGGATGGAGAGTTACTAACATCTAATGGTGACAAAGCAGGTTGATGCAAAATATTCCATAAAGCATAGGATAAGTCCAACAGTAAGGAAGTCTAAGGTGTCAACACTCTTGAGGTTGAGAAAGTGACCTAAAAGTCTGCTGAATAACCAAAATCAACGTGAGGGCCACATAGCCACCAGTACTTACACACACACACACACACACCAGTTACCTAAGCTATCAATTTTTTGTCTATTTAATAGATTATAAGCGTTTAGTAGGCACTCAAACCATACTTTCTCACTTGGAACTTACACAAGAGGTAAAGGTGAACATTTTAGGGGTCAATACATGGTAAATTTCTACCTGTAGCCTTGGCATCCCATGTGGGCAAGTTCTGGCTGCTCTGCATCGGATCTGGTTTCCCCTTTATGGCCCAGGAATTCAGCGTTAGCTGGCCCACCACCTTCGGCCCCTGCACTCCCTGCATCCCATGTGGGAGGCCCGCAGGAAGCTCCTGGCTTTGGGCTGGCCTATCTCCGGCCATTGGGCCATTTAGGGAGTGAACCAGAGGATGGAATTGAATCAGAGATTAAATGAAAAGATTCAAAGCCAACAACATTTCAGCATTTCGTACTAGGTTTGGAAACCTTTATGACTACTGTAACACACACACGCTGTAAAAGCAGGAGCCCACCTTAGAGACATGGGAAATCGGCAGAAACAGGCTGGCTGTCCAACACCGACAAGCAAAAGGATTCGCACAGAGCCCCACCACAAGCACAGGCGCACAAGACTTTACTATGCGCTAGTTCAGCCTAGCAGTAGAGCAGCCAGCTGCAACACCCCAGTCCCACAGGGGAGGTCCCACCAGTCCGGCACCCAGGTTTGTCTCCAGCATCCCGTCAAGGCTGGCTCTGGGATATCCATGGCTCCACCTGGGTCTCTGGCTCCAGGTGGGAAAGCTGCAGGCTTCCCCACCAGCCCAGCCCCGGCTGTGCAGGTGCAAGGGGCGTGAACCAGCCGACAGCACCTCCCTCTTCCATGGTCCCAGCCCTCCTCCTCCAGGATGTGGCCTCATCCTTCAAAGCTACCTAGAATTTCCCGATTGCTTCCTAGGCAGTCAGCCTCCATAGTCTTCATTTCTGACTTCACTACAGGTTCAATAACCAGTGGATTTGCAATCTCTATTCTTAGCTCAGAGACCACTTTCCTGGGGCAGGTTCTCCGACAGCTTTAAACACTGCTCACCCACATCAACTCAGGTTAAAAACAAAACCTGCACTAAAACAAAAAATCATGTGTGAACACCTGGGTCCGATCCATGCTCGCACCAGCACAAACATTATAGATTATTACAGATTTTCCCCAAACTGATTAACAACGTAGTTGTCACTCACAGTACAATCTTGAGCTAACTTTTCCCATTTTTTTTCCCCATGACATAGTTTTGCAGGTACAGGAATTTCCACCTTCTCCCTCATACCCCCATGTTATTAAAGTAGCAGAGTCCTTTGGTAACAGTCGTTACAAGTTTAACATTCTTCTGTTTATATGGAGCACCGCACTGTAGGCAATGGCAAAGGTAGACAAATCTAGTGTTTTGCTGTCAAGGTAATATTTAACGCTTCACAGGGGATCCTCACTTTCCCCATCCGTGAAAGGGGTTTGGCAATGTGGTCAATTGGGCAAAACAAAAAAAGCAAAGACCAGAGGCGTGAACGGCTGGGACTGAATGAGGATGTAGCGTCCCGGGTCCAGCAGGTGGAAACTTAGGGGGGTGCAAACGCTGTTTTCAGGCCCGTGTCACCTGACACAGCTCCTCCACCGCCCAGAGCAGGGTCCTGCTCTTACCCCAAAGAAAAGGTCACCTGCAGCCTGGCGTCCTCTCGGGGTCCACGGGCCCCCCGGCCCCCCTCTCGGAGCTCCCGCCGGACCCCAGAACCCCCGGCCCCCTCTCGGAGCTCCCTCCGGACCCCGCCTCTGCTCTGCCTCCCGGGAACTCCCGAGCCGGCGCGGCGGCAGGCTGTGTCCAGTCAAGGACAAGAGGAGAAGGAGCGGCCTGAGTCACATCAGACAGTCCTGCTAAAAAACAAAGAAGCAAAACAAAACACCCGGCTAAAAAGACTCGACCTTCCGCCTGCAGCACGGCCTCACCTGCTCCCCGGAGCTGCCGAGGCTGCTCTGCGGACCTGTCGGGACCACACCGAGCCGCTCGAGCGCCGGGAGCCTATGCAATATGGCGGCGCTCACCGGCTCGGGCAGCCGGCCCCATCGGACGGAAAGCCGGGAGGGACCAGACACCCCGCTCCCACCCGCTTCCGTCTGGGCGGAACTCGGCGCCTTCCGCCCGCCCACCGAAGGCCGCGAGGGCGGGAACGACGTGGCGCCGCAGTTCCGCCGGAAGTAGCCGGAAACCGGGGGCCGAGTGTCTTCGGCCATCTCCGGCGCGCCCAGGGGCGGTTCCCGCCGAGTGTTCGGCAGCCGTAGAGGTAGGGGCTTAAGAAATGATTCACTTTTTCACGTATTTCGCTATACTACGAAAAGCCCAGGAACAATTTGTGTGACAGCTAATGCCGAGTCCTCATTTTGTTTTCTTTATTTTTCTTACGTAGAGGCGAGCGCGCCGGAACGCCCTTTGACCCTTGACCTCCGGCTTGGCGCGGTGGCCGGGAACGCCTCCGTCTCTATATAAGGACTTCCCTGACTTCCTCTGGCCCTTTTTGTCTTTTTTAGAGCCGGGCTCCGGGGCCTGCCCTCTGCCGCTCCGCCGCCCGCAGCTCCGGGATCCAGCCTCCGCCATGGGATTCGGAGACCTGAAAAGCCCTGCCGGCCTCCAGGTGCTCAACGATTACCTGGCGGACAAGAGCTACATCGAGGGGTGAGCGGACGGGCCGGGAGCGGCCGGCCGGGGCCACGTGGCGCAGGCTGGGCTGGCGGCCGGGCCCGGCGCCGCTCCTCCGTCCCGGGGGGCTGGGGGACAGCAGGGTCTCCGAGGGAACTGGGAGTGACAGAGTGGACATCGTGAACGGTTGGCCGCGGCTGTCTGCTGCCAAGTAGCCAGCCTGTAGGGAACGGTGTGGCTTTGCAGTCTTGGAGGTGCGTCACAGGCGTGCCGAGGGGTGGGCAGTGGACCCGCCATGCCGAGGGGTGGGCAGCTCAGTGGTCACTGGATCCCCTCATGCCGAGGGCGGCTGGGCAGCCAGATGGTCAATGCATGCGTCCCACCCCAGGGGTGTGGACCACGTGGCGTGTGGGTATACCTGGCTCTGAAATGCGCTGCTGCTTGTCCTCGGCAGGTATGTGCCATCCCAAGCAGATGTGGCAGTGTTCGAAGCCGTGTCGGGCCCGCCGCCTGCCGACTTGTGTCATGCCCTCCGCTGGTATAATCACATCAAGTCCTATGAGAAGGAGAAGGCCAGGTAAAGGGACCTCGGACTCCTGTCTAGTGGAGAGAGGCTGCGCTGTACATGAGGTCAGGGTATGCATGCACCTGTGGCCTCAGGGTCAGGCCACTTGCTTGGACCCTTCTGAAAGGCCACAACCCTGAAGCCGTCCCCGGGGGGACGGTGGGGATGTGGACCCCAACAATGAAACGGAGCAGACTGGGGAAGAGTAATTATGAAGTTTACCAGGGAGTGTGTTAAAAGGAGAAATTGCTAATCCACCAGCAACCTTATTTTTTTTTTTCTTTGTTCTTTAAAGCTTGCCAGGAGTGAAAAAAGCTCTGGGCAAGTATGGCCCTGCAGATGTGGAAGACACCACGGGGAGTGGAGGCGCAGATGGTAAAGACGACGACGACATTGACCTCTTTGGGTCCGACGATGAGGAGGTACGGCATGGCTTGTCCCACGTACCTGCGGTGCCTGGGCTTGCTCCTGGCTTCCCTTACAATCTGCCCTTGGAAAAGTTCTCACCAGTTACATGATGAATAAAATCAAATCACCATCTTTCGGCTGAGCTCGTGATGGATTTGCTTTTTCTGATGAAACTGAGTGTCGGGTGGGGTGATGAATGGCTGTGTGCACTTCATGCAAAGGGGTGATGAGCTGTGTGAAATACATATATGTGTGTGTGTATGTATTTATTTATCTATTTCCCTTCACAGGAAAGCGAAGAGGCGAAGAAGCTAAGGGAAGAACGGCTTGCTCAGTATGAGTCTAAGAAAGCCAAAAGTAGGTGACTTTCCCTTAAGCCTTCCACAGCTACTGGTCTGCAGCTGTTTGTATGGTAGCGGTTGTGGCATTCCACTGTGGGAAAGCAACTGTCACACAATTAAACACCTCTTTCTTGGCAAACCAGAAAGTGGGCATATTTGTGACAGACATGAGATGCTCTGTTACTTGGGCAAAGTGTTCCAGCTCAAACCAGGAAGACTTCTTCCTGGAGTGAGGGAGGAGAGAAGTACCGAGTTCTGACATAATGCTGATTCTTGCTCTTTGTTTAGAACCTGCGCTTGTTGCCAAGTCTTCCATCTTGCTAGATGTGAAACCTTGGGATGATGAAACGGATATGGCAAAATTGGAGGAGTGTGTCAGGAGTATTCAAGCAGACGGCTTGGTCTGGGGCTCCTGTGAGTGTTAATTATTGCTTTCTGGAGCAGCTAGGATTTGCGTGCAATTTGGACTTAGACCGACCAACAGAGCTTTGCTAACTGGTGTTTTCTTTTAATGCTCTTTAGCTAAGCTGGTCCCCGTGGGCTATGGGATCAAGAAACTTCAAATACAGTGTGTGGTTGAAGATGACAAAGTCGGGACGGACATGCTGGAAGAGCAGATCACAGCCTTCGAGGACTACGTGCAGTCCATGGACGTGGCTGCTTTCAACAAGATCTAAAGTCCACCCAGATTGTTCCACCTAAATAAAAGCTTGAATGTTAACCCTTTCTCTAGACTCTGTCAAATGCGGGTGGTACAGATCTACATGGTGACATTTCTTTTTTATTTATTTATTTTTATTGGTTGCATTGCATTACATGACACAGTGTTATAGGCACTGGGATTTCCCCCACCCCTGCCTGAGCCACCTCCCCATGGTGGTTTTCTCCACCTTGTTGCATTACCTCAGTTCAAGTTCAGTTGAGGTTCTTTCATTGGAAGTGTTTACCAAGCATAAAGTCCAGCATCTTACTAGTCTAGTGAGTTCAACGGGTGACATTTTGAGGGAAGGAATTTGTTATGCATGTAGTTCATGAATAATACTTGGTTCTTTGGTGGTTGCAAAAAGATCTGGGCGCTGTGGCTCATGTAATTAGCAGCCTTGTGTGATGCTGATGTGAATTGTTGCCCAAAAGAATGTTATGCCACTAGCCTAACCCTTGCACTTTGTGTGCAGCCCCTTGATGTGCCTGGGAGTGCTGAGGAAGGCGACCCAAGGATGAATTGAATGTCCCTCTGCCCAAGGGAGTTCAGAGGAGTGGAAGATCTGTCTCCTACCAGCCACATTTCAAATTTTTTCAAGGAATGGTAGGCCAGGAGGTCGGCATGAGCTTCCCGGGCTGGGAAAGTAACATCTGTTGGGATCTGCTTGGTGTTGGCCCAGGGAGAGGCTGTGAATTTGTTGGCATAAGTCTGAGAACCTCTGAGGGGGTGATTGGTGTGACTGGTCACAGCCCAGGCATGGAGCCCACCTCTGCCTTTTTTGTTGTTGCTAGATTTATTTGAAAGAATATCCTCTGTCCACTGATTCCCTCCCAAAGTGGCTGCAACAGCTGGAAGTGAGCTGGTCCAAAGCCAGGAGCTTGTTTCAGGTTTTGCACGCAGGTGCAGGGTCCTGAGACGGGGCTGTTCACTGCTCTCCAGGTCATAGGCAGGGAGCTGGAAAGACAGACAGTGGGACTGCTGGGACATACAGAATCCCATTGCGAGCAAGATGAGGACTTTATGTCAGGCTACTGCACTGGGCCCTTGCTGCAGCATTTGTAAGTATGCTTCTGTACCTGTCATGGTTTACAGGTAGTTGCTGTATTTTAAGTTTAAGCATTTCTCCTGAGACCAGACCAGTTTTTCCTACATGTTTCCACTGTGGATAATTTAACTTCTCTTAGGATCCTGCATTGACGGTGGATGGGCGAAAGGACACTGGGCTACAGCCCACTGCCAGTCTGCGTTTTGCTGAGCTCTAGGAGTGGAGAGGAAGAACCATCAATAAAGCCCTCAGCCCGAGCCGTCATTGCCAGTTCCCCGTGGTGATGCTTAATGTTGGGCAGTTTCCTCGGGGTTTATTTTTCTTCATAGGAAGTGGGAATGAAAGATGCAAGGCCTCTTCCTGCTCGTACTTTTTGTTACAAAATAGAAGCATGGGTTTGTTGTTGTAACGAATGTCTCAATCATATAAGTTATATAAAGAAACAATTTCATATATAAGGAAACAAAAGGAGACATGGGATGTGCAATGACGGCAGGATGCCTAACTGGAGGGACTGTGGGTAGTAGAAACCTGCCCAAAATTCTCACATTCTCCTAAGCCTTATTGTAGCTGTACTTATACTGAGGACATGGTGTGAGGCAACTGCATCTTGGGAGGGAGATGATGCAGGTAACTGGCTCTGATCCCCCAAAAGCCTCACTTTTGGGGCCCAGCACAGTAGCCTAATAGTTAAAATCCTCACCTTGCACATGCCAGGATTCTATATGGAGACCAATTATACTGGCAGCCCTGCTTCCCATCCAGCTCCCTGCTTGTGGCCTGGGAAAGCAGTCGAGGATGGCCCAAAGCTTTGGGACCCTGTACCCGTGTGGGAGATGCAGAGGATGTTCCTGGCTCCTGGCTTTGGATTAGCTCAGCTCCAGCCATTGTGGCCACTTGAAGAGTGAGCCAGCGGGTACCAGATCTTTCTGTCTCTGCTCCCTGTAAATCTGCCTTTCCAATAAAAATAAATCTATAAGAAAAAAAATATTAAACTTTTTTAGGTTACATAGAAAAATGTGTAGGTGGAGTTGGAAGCATGATGGAACTTAATGCAGGGAAGATGTGTTTGGACAAGTGATGAGTCATGATAGACATGTATTTGAAAAAAACCCTCCTAGTGACACTTGGAGTACGTGTAACATTTTTTAGCGCTGGTTTTCACAAAAGAATGGTTACTTACAGTCTTCATTTTGTAAATAATGGACTAATGATTTTTCACGCAACCAGGGAATGCTTTTTCCTCTCAATATGGTTGTATGTTTCCCACATCAAGGTAGTTGAATGTGGGAAACCATAATACAGAGAACTTAATTATGAAAAAAGAAAAAAA